ATGGTCCCTCCTACTCCGATTTTCTCCCGGAGGGCTATTTTTCACATGGGGTCTCATTTGACTCTATTTTCTTGAGGGAGGTTGATCCGAGATTTTTCGGATTGCTCCCATGCCTCCCACTTCAGTTTTCTTTACTTTTCCTTTTCCTTTTGGCCTTCCCGTTTGTCACCACTAGTACTTGCACTAGTGGTGCTAATATTCTTGGTCGTCAAGATGTCGATCTTGACGGGGCACCTTGCATTTATTATTTTCCCCTCATGCGGTGCCGCCGTTTCTTCTTGGGACTTTCACATGTCSCCGCCACTTGTCCCGTCGGTGGTCCCCGACACTTAGTCCCGTCGGTGGTCCCCGACACTTAGTCTCGTCGGTGGTCCCCGACACTTAGTCCCGTCGGTGGTCCCCGACACTTAGTCTCGCCGGTGGTCCCCGACACTTAGTCCCGTCGGCGGTCCCCCGTTGTCGGTTCCCGACACCTTTCGCCCTGGACGCTATTATTTTTACTTAGTCCCACGTGGCCCCGGTTGCCTTTCCTCGAGGTGTCCCATGCCCCTTGGGCGTCTTGTCGCCCCATAGCAACCCCTCTCCTTAGTCTTTCCTCGCGCCTTGTGCGTGCCGATCTCTTTGGTCGTGGGCCTCCGCTCCGAGGCTCCCATAGGTGGCCCCCACGTTGGCCCCTCATTTCCTGGCTTCCTGCGGCTTCTGGCCGCCCATACCTTGACTTCCTCATTCCCTTATTGCTGTCGCGCTGCAATTGCTAGTTCAAAGGGCCCTTTGGCCTTAGTCTTATTGCATTCCGATGACCCTCCCGACCTTCTGCTATGTTCTATGTGCCCCTGTTCTTGCGCTCGCTTGCTTGCCGCCGCTAGTTCTTTCCTCCTGTGGTTCTCTCCTCAGGGCATCACTCCCTTCTGCGACCTAATCCTTTGTCTTTTCTCTCTCCTGCTTCCTCACTCCAGATTTCTCTGTTGTGCTTAAATTATCCGTATTCAATCTCTCGAGTGCTGGGAAGTTATTCGGGACCCACCAGTCCCGACAATGTGAAATCCTTCCATTCAGTGCTAATGAAACGCGGATCCCGATCACTCACAAGAGTCTTCGGGGTTCCGAATTGTATAATGTATTTCTGTTGGAATTCACGAATCACTAGATCTGTTGGGGTGTGGGCGGCAAAGGGATCAAATTAAGAAATTTTGAAAACCGGTCAACAATCACCATGACTTGTGAATGGCCGTTTTTGCTTACCTTACCCATGTCAGTGAAGTCGATGGAGACAGATTCCCTGGGACCATAGGGAATGGGTAGGGGTGTGAGTAGCCCCATGGGCTTTTGTTTGCATGGTTTGATCCGTTGACAGACTTGGCATTCAGCCACAAACTTCTCAGCAACCCCTTTCATGTCAGGCCAATCAAACTGTCTCAACAAATTAGCGTACGTTTTTGCCATACCGAAGTGCCCGCTCCGGCCATGAGCCAAATCCAGAAAGTGTGTGCGGAGAGGCTCATGGTTGGGCACACACAAACGGTCATGGTTCCCGTAGCGGCGGAAGATCAGTCCCTCAAACTCGTGAAAATCAGGCTGACCTCCTGAATCAGTCCGTAGCCGCTCAAGGATGGGACTGAGTTCCGGATCCTTGGCGGTGCGCTCTACGAGCTCCTCCTTCAGTTTCTTTCGGAGGTCGTAGGACTTAACAAGGCAAGTCATGTACTGTGGGTGGCAAGACAGCATCAACTACTCGGTTATAACAACCTTTCTTATGCCTTAATTCAAAATAAAAAATGCCAATCTCGTGGAACCAGCGAAGCAAGGTAGGGGGCTGTTTGATCCACTTCAGGGTCTCGTGATCTGAGAAGACCTTGAAATGGAGTCCCAAAAGGTAGTGCTTCCAGTGATCCAATGCCATGCGCAAGGCATAAAGCTCGCGCATGTAAGTGGAAGTGGATACCTTGACGCTGGGCATGCGTTTGCTGTAATATTCGAGCGGCGTAGGCCGTCGCCGTCGTCTTGTTGCAGCACTGCACCGATTCCATACTGGCTCGCATCCGTAGTGACTACGAATGTCGGTTTGGGATCTGCAATGCGGAGTACTGGGTAACTTACCAAGGCTTCCTTGAGAGCTCAAAAAGCTTCCGGACACGCGGCATCCCAGGAATAAGGCACATTTTTACTAGTTAGTCGCGACAATGGACGAGCAATGATAGAAAAATGGGGTACAAACTTCCGATAATATGACGCAAGACCAAGGAAAGAACGCAATTCACGAATGTTGGCAGGCTGAGGCCAATCGCGTATGACCTCAATCTTGGTTGCCTCAGGCTCTAGGCCTGCAGCAAACAACCGATGCCCAAGATAGATGACGCTATCCTTCCCAAACTCGGATTTCTCCAAGTTGAGATGGAGTTGCATCTTCTTGAAGATAGTGAGCACCTCCTCAAGATGCTTGAGGTGTTCCTCCATGGACTTGCTGAAGATCAGAATATCATCCAGGTACACTACCACAAACCGACCAATCTGTCCGCGGAGGACCTTGTCCATGAGGCTTTGGAAAGTGGTTGGTGCGTTCGTGAGACCGAAGGGCATTACGGTGAACTCATAAAGCCCGTCGCCTGTTTTGAATGCAGTTTTGTGCTGGTCCGCAGGATCGACTTCAATCTAGTGGTAGCCAGACTTGAGATCGATCTTGGAGAAGACCTTGCACCCACCCGCGGCGTCAAGCACGTCAATTACGCGGGGCAAAGGGTAGGCGTTCTTTCTTGTGATGCGGTTTAGACCGCATGAGGAGTTTGCGTCCCTTTTTAGGCACAAACAAAACAAGAGCACCAAATTCTAACTCACTAGGCTTGATCCACCCCTTATCAATCATTTCATCGATCTGTCGCCGGAGTTCTTCCAACTCGCCAGGTCCCATTCGATACATACAGCCCTTTGGAGGAACAACACCCTCAACCAACTTGATGGTGTGTCGGACCGATCATGTGGGGACTCCACGTGGCTCGACAAGTACTTCCGGGAACTGATCGAGGAGGTTTTGGATGTTTGGTGGGACCGGTGGGGGTGGGTGATCAGCAAAAGGATCAACTAGATCCGGTCGTAGGTCACGTATCGAGACGACCGAATCAACAGTAGGATCATTTGGACCATCAGAAGGTGGGGAAATAGAGGTAGTAGCGGTGATAGTATTAGAAGTAGGACTACTAGTTGAAGTAGTAGTTGAACTTACCGCAAAAGTAGAAGGCACATGGGTAGGACGAACAAAAGCAACATACAACTGCTCGTCCTCCTTGTGCTGGCGCCATTTCTTGCAGAACTTCAACGCAGTTAGAAAAGTCACTGGGGATTCGTGCTTCTCATCCAAGAGGACAAAAAGCTCGTTCCTCTGAAGCATCCTTGACCATGAAGAGTGACTCCTTCCACTTGGTCCATTTGCATTGGGACTGCAGCTAGCCCAAACCAAGGACAGCGTCGAAGCGGCACTTGTCAAGGACAAAGAAGTTCAACGTGTGGGTGACAGTCTTGCCTTTGTCAAAGGTAGTGCACACACCTTTGACTGCATGCGTGGAAGAGACAACTTCCTTGTTGCCAACTTGGGTTCGACAAGGGTTCTGCAAGGCCACTTGCTTCATCCCCAAGCCCACCTTGCGTATCCTTTTTGGTGACATGAAATTAGCCGTAGCACCGCAGTCAATCAGAACACGGAGATAGCGGTGGTTTATGAGGAGTTTGAAGAAAATTAACTTTACCGTCCTTTGGGCACGCTGCTGTTTCATCTCAGCCCAATGCTCCAAGTGGTAGAAAGTCGACTGCCCCAAACTCCTCCCAAGGCTCGTCATACAAAACATTGCTTACCTTAGCCTTGTCTTCAGCAGATGGTTGGGCTTCGAGGGAGGGCTGCTGATTTTCAACAGAACCAGACTCCCCTGTTGTAGAGTTTGCTGAAACTGACTCTACGCCCGATTCTGGTTTCTCTGCAGCCTATAACAGTCCTGAACCTTATGGTTTGGTTTTTGGCAATGCAGGCAAACCCCTTTCTTGAGTTTGCCCCGCCAGTCATTCTCAGTGATCCGGAGGTCAACCCAAGGTTTTGGTAGACGCATCCTCCGGTTTAGGCGGGTTCTTCGCTCCCTTGGGAAGTTGGAAATAATTCTTCCCGGCACTCCGATTCGGTTCCTTGGTGCTGGCAGTCTTTTTAAAGGCAGAAAAATTTTCTTCTTCCTTATTTGCATCGGACTCATGGGCTAAAGAACAAGCTGTATTAGAGTCATGTTCTTGGTCGTAACCGAGAGTGGGGTAATCCGCATCGGCTTCTTCTTCGGCCTCCAGCAGGTCATGCACAGCAAAACGGCTGCTGCCCTTGAACCATCTGCCGCCCATGGGCTTTTTGCTCCCTGCCGTGCTAATGAGGTCTACAACCTCCAAACTGACTATGTTCTTCATTAGGGTGAGCCAGTCAGTGTATGCAATGTAGTCCCTGCCCAGGCGATTAGTGAAGTTAGTTGGAACCACGCCCTTAACCACATCTAAGCAAGACTAAGCAGTCAATTCCTATCCAGGTGTAGCAAACATCTTGCTCAGATAGGTCTACAGGCTTTTCATGGAGCCCGTCCACTTGTTGCGTTTGACTTTGTCAAGTTGGATTCTTGCCCTAGCCGCAGCATGTGGATCCTGATATTGTGAGATAAGGAGATCCTCGAGGGAGGCAACTGGGGTGGTCCTAAGCCATTTGGCTAGTGCAGTCTTTTGGAACCTAGCCCGCATCGCTTGGACTTCTAGGAAGCCCTGTATGACCGACTCGACATTCATTCCCATAATCACCGCCTGGGTCTCAGGTTGAGTCCCCAGAATCTCAAAGTAGGCCCTCATGGAGCCGATCCAGGACTCGATGTCTTCCTTGCCGTCGTACTTAGACGACATTTGTACCGCCTTTCGATCCACATAGGGACCGGCGTAGCTGGGACCAGCACCTACTGATTCCAACCTTGGGGCTGCAGCAGTTGCAGAATTCCCGGCCTCGTCGCTGGTCACAGCAACAGCGGAATCTGCACCTGTTGCAGGTCCCGAGGGGGTTGTCAACACATTCAAGGAAGGAGATACGGTGAGAGAGGCAGAAGTAGTCTCCATCGCAGCCTCGGACCCAGGGGGTAGAGGGAGAGGATTGGCCACTTGGGCCTGTCGCAGCTCAGCCACCTCTTGCGTCAACTCTTGGTACTTGAGGGTCATATCAGTCAGGTCGTCGTGAAGTTTTCGCAATTTTGCGAAGACGTCCGCAATCTGAGTGTTATGATCTTCAATATTCCGGACTTGAACAAGGGCGGCGAGTATACTTTGCAGTTGTTCCCCACATTGCTCTTTCGTCAGTGAGGGAACAGTTTCCAAGATGGCCACTTGACTCTTCAATAATGTCTCTTTCCTCTCCTTCTCTGCCTCTTGTTCCTTCTTGATGGCATTATCCAGGAGTGCTTGCAGATGTGGTTTTTCTGCATCACTGGCTGCGTCTAACATGGCCCGCCATTGGACTGAAGTTAGTTGAGCCATTCTTGGACCGTCAGTGTTAGTAGGTGGGTCAGAGAATCGCGAATCAGCAAAAGAATCAATAAGACTCTCAATAGGTTCACTCCCCCACTCTTTTAGACGAACACTCTTCCCAGTCCTTGCCCACTTCAGACGGTCACTCTCTCTCTCTCCCTTTTCTCTCTCCCTTTTCTCTCTCCCTTCTCTCTCTCTTCTTTTTGGCGGCGGGTTTCCACGTGCATCGGAAATGAACACAGAAAGACAAACTTCAAAGCTCAGAGAAGAGAAGATAGAACTCCTAGCCGGAGCGGCATTTCATTTGGAAGTAGAGAGCAGCAGAATCAAAAGAAACAAACAACTCAATGAGAGGTCTGATCCAGCGACCCAGTCTGATCAGACTGCATACGAGGTCCTCTCGAGTCCAGTCTGACTAGCTCCGTTTCTGTTCAGCAAATCAGACAGCGAGTGACTAAATGCAACAATGGAGAGTTGAGTGGTGTACAGGGTGCGAGTCAAGCCACGGACAGTGCAATCAGAAGACATGCGAAACGTCTCAACCAAGATCCCCTCAGCAGTGGGTGTCCTAATCCAAGAAGAATGACTATGTATCCCAGCCAAGAAGACAAGAGGTCAATGCCTAACCGATTTGGGTCCAGAGGCTCTTCTTGTTTGGGCCCGGTCCTGCTGGGTCCTAGGGGTCCCACGTAGGTCTCAACCAGGTCCCAACCGAGAAGAAACTTAGTTCAGTCTCTGCTGCACTGAAAAAATGAAATTTCAACTTCTAGCAGAGCCTACAGACTACAACCGTTCTGAGATGAAAAGACAAAGCACTGTAGAAAGACTCGGCATGTAGCTCAAGATACTTCATTTTCCATCCATCAGGTGAGTAGGTAGATCACATGCATTCAGTCATACAATCAAGACCACAGAGGAGTAGGAAAAGAAACCAGAGTACCCTAGCAGGACAATCGATACCATACAAACATACATGGGCATCCCGTAGGTGCACGACACTTACCTGAGTGGCCTTGAGCTTCGAGATGAACAGAACTCACCCCCCTTCTCATATGGTCCTCCTGACCCCTCTAACGCTACCCCTACACTAGTGTCCTATCTCCTAGGAGGGTCTGACTCCAGCACCAAAGTGCAACGCCGGATCCCCCATCGATGCTGAAGAACAAAATAGCAACTTGCAGTCCGTAGATGCTGAGTGGGCGCTGGCCCTCAAGCTCGCCTACTTGAGGGCAACCCTTAAGTTGCCAAGTGTCTCCCTTGAATCAGATTCCAGGTGCGAGTGCCTTTCACTGTCGCCTCTCTCAAATCGCCGCATGAAGTCTCCTCGAAATGTCTCGCCAACCTAATCTCACTCTCAAGCAACCTGGTTAGGTTCTATGTCGACCCCACATGACCTAACCAGGTAGGGGCAACTTCCCTTAGCCCTGCTGCCCCACTTCCCTCAACCAACCAACCCTAACCCTAAGTGTTGCCCTCAACCACTTAGGTTCGGATTAGGGCAGCAAAGTCAACTCTCACCAGCAAGTAGAATCCGCTCTGATACCATTGTTATGACCTTGGCCAATTTCGAGATACACCTCCACCGGAAAGTATAATGCCATCCAATTGCAGAAAGAAATGAATGAACTTGAGAGGAGGGAGAGAGGATTAGAAGAAGAAGAAGAAGTAAGAAAGAAGAAGAAAGATGTACACCAACAAAGACAATGACAAGGCTCTTTTTCTTCGCCCAACAACCTCCTCCTTATCTCCCTCTTCTCTTATTCATACAATAAATAATAATACAATGTTGAATGACTGGTCCAGAATCGATGTCCGAGTCCCCCTTCTACTGCAGGTATCACTCAAGGTCCACCATAGCCATGGCCGCCTCTCCCACTCTTCACTCTCATGGGCCGAGGCTAAGGCGGACTACTAGGCCTTGCCCATATGCCCAAAGGACAACCCAAAGCAGCTATGGCTGCTCTAGCTCAGGCTGCCATGCCCAACACTACCTTGAAGCTTCTTGGTGTGGCTCTCCCCGGTTGGGGACTCCTTGCTGCAGCGCCCACCAAGGTGATGAAGATGGCTGCCACCATAGCCAGGTAAGTACCCCTGGCGCTCCTCCCCCTTCCTCTCTCCTTCCTCCTTCCTCCCTCGTGTCCTTCACCTTCCTCCCCAGCAGCGCTGCTCCCGCCAGCGCTCCACAAGTGTGTCGCCAAACTTGCACACCGAAAAAGAGGCCGGGTCTTCTGCCCGGCCTGAAGATATAGCGGCCTGCTTTGCCTCTTGGGCGGTGACTTCCAGGCCATTGGCCTTCCCAAGCAACCGGTACCTCCTCCTCTTTTGGAGGGAAACATCATTGCAGACTCTGATATTGCCCCTACAGGCCCTAGACTCAGACTGGTACCCACTAGACCTAGCCTACACTTTTGTCTTCTTTTGCTCGGCCTCCGGTACCTGCATATTTACCCCCCTGCCGGGTGCGGTACCGGCCTACCTGCTACTTGAGTGTTTTTTTCTCGCTGCAACCCTTCAAAGCCACGGCCACAGGTAAGTACCGGCCCTGAGGGCCCAACGAACGAACAAGTGCCCTGGCGGCCACACACACACTCGTACCAACCAGCACTCAGACAGACACAGTCACACGCACGCAAGCCAACCAGCACTTAGACAGACATGCAGTCCAGCAAGCACACACACACAGACTTAGCGGGCGGGAACTCAGTAGGGCATTCAGTCTATGAGCAAGACTCAGAAATCAGTTGTGTGTTTTAGTCCATGTTTGGACGGGTTATCACAATGCGCTCGATCTTGTAATCAAACTGCCAAATGAACCCAACCCATCTTCCCACGGTAGGGTCTATAGGCTTGTAGTTCTTTTGTGCCCCTGCGACATTTGTTGGGTCAGTCCTCAAGATGAACCTCCTTCCAAAGAGGTAAGCTTGGAAGGTCTTGAGGCAGTGGAGAACGACCAATACCTCCTTGAACTGAGAGTAGTGACGCTCGACTGAATACAGTGTCCTACTCTCGAACCTGATTAGTCGCTCTCTCCCGTTTTCCCCTCTTTGGATCAAAACTCCTCCCACAACTTGTGGTCCCCCATCGGTTTAAAGTACAAATGGGCGCCCTACCTCATCGTTAAAGCAAGGAGCGGCAAGGGTGACGTGCTCGGACGTCAATATATCTTCCAGGGCTTGGATGGCGGCTTCTCGTTCCTCCGTCCAGTCCAATGTACCCTCCTCGTGAATCATGGCCCGAATAGGTTCTGCTATCTTAGCGAAGCCTTTGATGAAAATCCTCCAAAATCCTACAACCCCTAGGAAGGCCCTCACTTTCGCTGTGGTTCGTAGGGGCGTTGCCATTGGGAGATTTTGTCAGTCTTGGCTTGGTCGGGCTTCCTCCCATACGACCCACAACGAAACCCCAGGATGGTCACTTCCAGAACCGCCAGGATACTCTTGGGACCATTGGCAGTGATGTTCTACACCAGGAATCTTGGGGGGAGCTCTTTGATATCCTGTAGGTGGTCCCATACAAATCTTCGTATTCCAGGCTGAATTTTCGTTTCGTTCTTGTCTCGTGCGCCTTTGATTGGATTATCGCCAATGTAAGGTTCACATTTTGCAGGGAATATGTCTCCCGCAACTGCGAGCATTCTCCTTTGTGCTTCGGCCACATCAGTGGTGAAACCCAGAGGAGTCACTTGCATTTGTAGCTGGCCTACCAGGGTCTGCATGGCCGTGTAGGGTCTATCCCGGGCGTCCAGCGGGAGCTGATCGTATCCAAGGTAGAGGTCTACCAGCGAGTAAATGCTTCGTCCGGCGTGGGATTCTGCCATCAGGTCCCCTTGAGGCAGCGACCCCGCGTTTCGGATGGTGACAACATTTAGTTTCTGCAGATCCTGGATCCACCTAAGCGACTTGTTAGGCTTTACAGAACACAAACCATCTATTCGCGTATGGCGATGCGGTGGGTTCTGCCACGAAGGAGTCCACCTTTGCTCTAAGCAATTCTATCACTTCCCCTGCTACCCCAAAATCGTAGGTTGGCCCCTTGTCGTTCCAACATTCATGCTCTACTGTGTGGATCTTAACCGGAGGTATCAACTTTGTGTCTAGTCGTCCCTTCTGATGGTCGTTGAAGGCAAATGTTAAGTGGAACTCTTGGCATGCCTCCCTAATCAAGCGCGTCTCCTGCTCTGTCAGGAATCCCTTCACCCCTATCTTCATGGTCTCAGCTACTTCATTCGGTATTCGGTGCCCTTCAGTTGCCTTTCTTTCCCTAATCACCGGGAGGACTTCTTCCTTTCTTTGCATGGCTTCTTCCCTTGTTGTTTCTAGCAAGATCGATATAGGCTTATCCTTCTTTCCTACTAGCTTGTACTTGCGAATGTTTCCTTCTGGGATCTTTCTCCTAAAAAATGAACAACCGGAATTGCCCGTGGTGCTCCGACAATCCGAGGCTGGATACTGATCAATTTCCCGTTCAGGCAGTAGCCTTTTCGAACTTCTCCCTCAAACTTGGCGAGTGCAACTGGGTCCACGCCTACCATATGGTACCTAATGGCTTTGACGAGTTGCAGTAAGTCGGGGACTTCGAGTGTTTTCCCGGACTCCTCATCTCGAGCCTCCTTTGGTCTAGGTAAGCTGGCTTCCAATTCGACCTCTGTCTCTACCCAGGGCATCGTCCTCCTGTCTCCGCTTTTTCTGTGGTGATCCCATCTTGACCCATTCCTTCTTATTGAATGCTTCTTCGATCATGATTTCTACCCTTTCTCTCATTCATTCCTTCCATTCGTGCGAAGCCCCCCTTTCTGGCACTTTCCTCAAACAAAGGTGACCGTGTTGCTAGTTTCCCCGGCATGTCACCGCCTGTCCCGATGAGACGGAGCAACTCCTTACGTCCCGTCACCGGGTCTTCTATGTCTACCATGTATGTTCCATCATGCAGGTGCATTCCTATCACTTCCACATTTGCGCACCAAGGTCTCCCAAGGATTACGTCGTGGTCCATTTCGTCCATGACAGTCATTCGTTGGAACGACCAAATAGACTCTCTCACCCCGGCCTTGACTGCATACTTGGTAACATACCCGGAGAAGGGGATCTCTCCGCCTGCCCCACAGATGCTTCCAGTTGTCTCCTTGTTTACTGCACATCCCGTAATTTTGGCGAAGTCCTTCCTAATGAGCGTGATTTCAACCCCCCCGTCTATGAGTGCGTTGGTGTGGTGGCTTCCAATTTGGACTTTTAACTTGCCTACCGTCAACGCATGGAAACTAAATTTCGTTCCGGGCGGCGCCCTCATAACTTCGCCTCCTTCGCGGTCTGGTAGGCTTAGCCGGATGTCTACGAAGGCCTTCTCTAGGTCTTCTAGGTCCCCGGGAATCCTTTGGAGGTTAGCGACTTCTCGCGGTGCCTCATCTTTCTTCTCTTCTTCCTGCTGTTTCGGCGCTTCTTCCATCTCTACTCTCCGCCTCGTCAGTAGCTGCCTAAGGTCTTTCAGGAGCCTAGGACTTGCTTGTAACATGGTTTGAAACGAGACCGACACTATGGTCCCTAGTAGCTTGCTAAGGGTGTCATCGATCTCGGGCATAGTCAGGATGGGAATCTGATATCGGAATTTATTCTTGGTTGAAGTTGCTTTGTCTATCGGCGCCTCCTCTCTAGGTTTCCCGTAAACCTTCTCTTGCTCTTGCGCCTCCGTTCCCTGTGGCGCCCCCAAGCCATCCCCTACATCTTCCATAACTGAGTCTTGTACGACCTTCCTTTCTGTTGTTCGCTGCCTGGTAGTCACGTTCACCCTATCTTGTCCATCATTCTCTAGTATAAAGTTGGTCTGCGGCCCGTGTTCTCGCGCCTGTTCCCACGCGAGTTCTGCTACTGGCTCGGCTTCTACTATGGCGACGTCAAGGTTGTTAAGTGCAATTATGGCCCGGCGCATCCCTCCCGAGGAGTTCCAATTCACTTTCTTCACAAGCGGTTAACGGGTAGCTGAAAATTCAGGAATGAAAATTATGAAGTGAGAGTTTTGGGCAGTCTGAAAATCCTGAATGATCCTAAAGTGGTGAAAGTTCTGAAGACCCTAAAAACGACCT